AAATAGTAAAAGCCAGCCCTAGCCGGGTTTGCGCAGTGGATAGAGCATTGGCCTGTGGGCTGAAAGGTCACAGGCTCAATTCCAGTCAAGGGCACGTACCTCAGTTGCAGGCTCGATCCCTTGCCCCAGTTGGGGTGCGTGCAGGAGGCAACCACTTGAAGTGTCTTTCTCACATGGATGTTTCTCTCTCTGCATCTCTCCCCGTCCTTTCCACTCTAAAATTCAATGGAAAAATATCCTCGGGTGAGGATAAAAAAAAAAATAATAGTGCCCTAACTGGTTTGGCTCAGTGGATAAAGCGTCGGCCTGTGGACTGAAAGGTCCCAGGTTCGATTCCGGTCAAGGGCATGTACCTTGGTTGCGGGCACATCCCCAGGAGGGGGTGTGCAGGAGGCAGCTGATCGATGTTTCTCTCTCATCAATGTTTCTAACTCTCTATCCCTCTCTCTTCCTCTCTGTAAAAAATCAAGAAAATATATTTTTTAAAAAAATAGTGAAGGCCAGGTAATACAACTGCTTCATTCCATGGGTTTGGCTTGTTTTGTACACAGAAGGAACCAGCAGATGTATGTGAGCCTGGTGTGATTTGATGCAGTTGCCCAGGCAGCCTCTCCTGGCTAGTCCTCACCTCCTTGTCCTGGCGTTGTCCATTCTGATGGCAGGTGTCTGCGTTGGCAGCGGGTGTGGGCGTGCAGTTAGAAAGAGCTGCTCCCGGGAGTTAGATGGCGGGAGCTTAGGTTCCCTGGGGCTGGCGGCAGGCCCATCTGGAACCGACAGAAACTGCCCCCGGAGAAAGAGCATCTCTCAGGGAGGCTTTCAGGCAGAAGCCAGGCTGCCAGAGGGAGGGCTGCATTTGGGGCTGGGGCTGACCTCCACCCTCGACTGCATGGGTCTGCGACGCTGGGAGGCCGAGGACGTGAGGCCGGCCACTCCTCAGCCGCATGCTTTTGTCTTTGCAGTCGGACATGCTCCGGTCTTTGGCCACCACCCGGCCCACCGTGAATGCAGATGACCTCCTGAAAGTGAAGAAATTCTCAGAGGACTTTGGACAGGAGAGTTAGAAGCTTTTCACTCTGGTGATGGTGACGGAGGGAGGTTGATGGCGGTAAATTCATGCACTCCTCATGTCGGTGGCCAGACAGGGCTGCAGGGCTCGTCCTAAAATCACTCCGTGTCCCCTGGGCTGTCTGGCCGCCAGCCAAGGAGCAGGAAGGAAGGGGCTCCCGGCCGCAGAGATGCAGAAGCACATCCGGCAGCGGGTGGAATACTGGCTCTTCCTACTTCCTCCTCCTCTTCTGGATGCTCACCACTCCTGGTCCTGACACTCCATGTTTGTTTTTAAAGCCTTTTTTGTTCCTCTAAATTAATGCTGCTTGGATTTTCGTCTTGTTTATAAATAAAGTCAAAATCACCTGGAGCATCACGGAGTGGGAGCAGCCGAGCAGTGGGGTTGGTGCAGCTGACCTGCGAGCCCCCATGGTCCGTTCCTTTTAGACCCAAGTGTTGCTCCTTGTGAACTGAATGGCTGATGCCCTGGAACCCTAGCCCACGCTGTGCCTGTAAAGGCCAAGAGTAAAGCCAAGCCCTCCGCACTCCCAAGTCGCACACTCCCAAGTCGCCATCCCGGGCCCTGTTCCTCCTGCAGGAGGAGAGGGGCCTGTGAACACCAAGCGGTGCACGTCAGAAGGAGTGAAGGCAGGCAGGCGGGTCTCACTGCCGCCTCTTCCCTCTGAATGTGAGAACATGAACCCAGCCACCGCCCGGGTCCCTGTCCTGGAAGTGGGCTAATAAATCCTTTTCCCTTCTTGAGCCACCTGAGTGATTTCGTCTTTGACTCTTGGGCTCTTGGAAGGTAATGCTTGCTTCCAGTAGAAAGATCTAGTCTTCTCTGCTGTCTTTTCTTCAGCAGAGTAGGAAGTAGGAATGTCGCCACTGTGCCGAGGCCTAGACGCCAGTCAGGTTCCTGAGACCTGTCTTCCCCCGGGGCCTCAAAAGTGTGGCCGGGGGTGTTTGAGGGACTCGGGCAGTTCTTCCTGTTGTCCAGCCTCCCGAGCAGAGTCTCAAACTGGGAGGCCTGTGGGCCAGATGTGGCCTGCAGCTGTTTGGTTTGCTCTGCTGCCAACATTTAAAACTCAAGAGTAGACACAAAAATTCAGGTTAGGTAATGCTGGGCCTGTGTCCCCAGGAGGCCACATAACAGCTGCAGCTGAGCAGGGGCGGCCCTATGCAGTTGTCACATGCTGTGCGTTCACCATCCCCAGGTGGCCTGCTCACACATTTGCATCGCCTGCCTGGCCCGATTGACTTTGTCAGACACCCGAGTCTCCAGAGCTGGCAGCCCTGGAAATGCTGTCTGACGGAGCAGATGCAGTAATGGCTGTCACGTTGACCATGAGATACGAACATGCAGAAAAGGCCTGGCTCGAGTTGTTCAGCCTTCCTCCTCCGTTCCCCCTCCACCCCCACGGGAGTCTTCAAACCCGAATGGCCCAGAACTGAGTATGTGGCCAACTCTTAGATCGTGTTAGCCTTGCACTGTGGTGTTCCTTTCATCTGGTTAGGAGTGTCTGCTGAATTCAGCTAATTTCTTTCCTTTTTTTTTTTCTTTTTCCCCCCAGCTAATTCTTTTTTTTTTTTTAATATATTTTATTGATTTTTTTACAGAGAGGAAGGGAGAGGGATACAGTGTTAGAAACATCAATGAGAGAGAAACATCGATCAGCTGCCTCCTGCACACCTCCTGCTGGGGATGTGTCCACCACCAAGGTACATGCCCTTGACCGGAATCGAACCTGGGACCTTTCAGTCCGCAGGCCGACACTTAATCTACTGAGCCAAGCTGGCTAGGGCTCCCCCAGCTAATTCTTAAAGTGTCTGCTGAATTGAGCCTTACCTCATTTTTATGTTTCTTGAAGGCTTGGGCTTGGTGCTCCTCTCCATTGCTACTGAGTTAGCCTTGCTACCTGGAGCGCCAGCCAGCCTGACCTCCAGATGACACTTTGCAGCAACTGTGACTGGAATTCTTGTCGCTTGCTCTGGAGCTCCCACATATATACTTCTTGGTTAGTTATGTGCTCTCAGCCAGCCATTATGTTTGTAAATGCTGGCCTAGAAGCCAGGATAAGACACTGCCCCCTGTCTCTTCTGCTAACTTTGTGTTTAGTCGTATTTTATTACTCTACCTCCATTACCTTTACTTGAATCAGAAGGTCCTTGCCCCCGCCCCCTTTTTTAAACCTGCTTCCTCATTTCCTCTGTTGAACACCTAGATGAGTCACAGTTCATCTCATAGCTGTAGTCACAGCTTTCACAGACACCCCCTGAGGCTGAACTAACTCGGACTGATGCTGTGGCCTCAGTCTCTGTTAATCATGGCGCATGTGTGCAGAGGAATTTCCTCCCCTAAATGCTCCCTCTGAAATCCACTGCTTCCCTTCCTGGAATTCTGTTCTAAACCTTCTGCCTACATTGGCTTTCACTGTGGAAGTTGATTTCTAAAACTCAGCTCCAGATGCCGATTTGTGTGTGAGGTTTTGTGGCTAATACATCTGCCTCAGGTGGAAGAGATTTTCTTCATTGGAAATGCAAGGATTTGCCTTTGGGTTGTAGTGTTTTACTAAGAACTGTTAACCTCAGAGCTCTGTATGGAGGCATCTGAATGTTTGTTTGTTTGTTTTTAATTCATTTGAGAGAGAGGAAGGGGGAGAGAGAAACTTTGACTTGTTGTTCCACTTATTTATGCATTCATTGGTTGCTTCTTGTATGTGCCCTGACCAGAGATGGAACCAGCAACTTGGAAGTATCAGGATGTTGCTCTAACCAGTAGAGCTACCTGGCCAGGGCCCAGAATGTTCTGAGGCCACTCTGCAACAGTCTCTGAACATTGTCTGAGGGAAAAGGGGTCAATGAATTCTAGTTTTCCTAAGGACATGTTTTCAGTATTGAGAGCTTTCTACAGACTTCCCCAACGGGTGAGTGCCTGACTTTACCTCGGGGTAGTGCTAAGTCCTGTTCCTTCCAGAGTTTAATGCACAGACAGCCAGTTCACTTTTGCGTGGCCTCATAGGCCCCCAGACTCAGCCTGTTGAGAAAAAGCCGTAGAGGAGAGTTCTGTAAGGAGGGTTCGTTTTATTAATGATGGAGAAGCCATCATTCGTTCTCTCTAAACAACTTACTGGACTTCTTACTACATGGGTACTTGGACTTTGAGGACTTTGGTAAGAGTATTAACGATGCAAAATGAGGTAAGCCAACCTAAAGAAACAAATTCCTTCACCTCTGACAACATCTTAAACACTGGTCAGTCATCATGATGCTAATTTATTTTTCCAAAGTAAGTGTGGTGACCAGGAAGCGCAAGTTCTTTCTACTCAAATTGTGACGGGAAGAGGCTCATTGGCCTCCCCCAAAGAACAAGCCAAGTACCAGCTGCCCAAGAAATCTCAGCAGAAAAGTCCTCCCCAGGTCTGTTAAAGGTGAAAGGCAAAAGGTGGAAGCCTAAACTATCTGAATGTGTCAATGTGTGTGGGTACTCATTTATTCTAATACTAGAGGCCCAGTGCACAACATTCATGCACTGGAGGGGCAGGGTCCCTCAGCCTGACTTGCACCCTCTCGCAGCCTGACATCCCCTGAGGGGTCCTTAGCACTGCTGCCGAGGCAGGAGAGGCTCCCACCACCACCGCTGCTGCACCAGCTGTGAGCCCGGCTTCTGGCTGAACAGCACTCCTCCCCCTGTGGGAGCGCACTGACCACCAGGGGGCAGCTCCTGTGTTGAGCGTCTGCCCCCTGGTGGTCAGTGCGCATCATAGCAACTGGTCATTCTGCATATTAGGGTTTTATTATATAGGATTCTCAGTAAACACTTCCATGAACTGGGGCCATTCTGCCTGTGTTTACTTCCACAAGCACACTGGTGTCCAAGGCAAAGGACTTGAGGTAAGACACAGAAATCCCTTGTAAAATAAGAATTTGGTAAATAAAGTCAATCAGCCTTAATCTGCATTTTTGAACACGGCTTTCAGATATTCTGGAACTACATTTATTACCAAATCTTGGCTTTGGGAATAGATGGCACAGGTCTTACGAAGTCATATCTACTGAGAGCGGTTATTGCCCCACTCATCCTCCATACAAAATTATCAGGAAATGTCCATTCTTTTAGGGGAGTTAGTTTTCTTCTCAAGTGGAAGGCAGTATTTTATAGCTCAACCTGGAGCAATCGTTTTTAACATCTTCCTCCAACTCAGTTCAGCATGCTTCGGAAGTCCATTGTTCTGTGTCGGAGGCAAGTCAATGCCAAGTAAGACAAGCCTGGCTCAAAGCTGAAGTGTTTGTGTCCTGGTTTTCAGAATCCTCAGGAAAGGTTTAGTCATTCACCTCCATCCAGTGGATGTTTGTAAATGTCTTGCTATCCATTTTGTCAATGAACAGGCAGCCCTGCAAGTGGTCCATCTCGTGCTGGATGATGCGTGCTGCCCACCCACTGGCCTGCCACACCACCTGCTCTCCTCTGGGGTCCAGCCCTGCAAAGGAAGTTACAGTCTGGGTGAGGACATGCTGCACTGCATCACTCTCAGCCTCCTTACCACCTTCCCTTGCCCCTGGGTGTTCCTGTTCACAAGAGGCAACATCAGAAGGGAACTCGGCACCTCTTATCCTCCTAGAAAAGGTGCCCCACGTCTGCCAGTTACCAAGTAGTCAACTTAGTTCCCAACTCTAACAGGTAGGTTGCTGGGCTTCCTATGTGATCTTCCTGATAAGGTGCTTCTCTCCTGAACACTCCTCCCGCCTCTGAAGTATTGCTGTTCGCTTTCGATTCCTAACACAAAGTACGCCAGCTTGGTGCAATATAAAGTAAGGGAGACACTGACTTTCTGACCCTCATGGACCAAGTGGCTTGCTCAGGAGGAACAATCATCACAACCCCAGCAAAGAACCACATTCCACAAAACATCCTGGTATGACAGGCCGGGAATGGGTGTCACCTTCACCCTGGCTGGGCTGGGCAGGGCAAGAGGTCCCATTTCTCCCGCTCCACATGACAGATCTAATCTGGGGCAGAAGAGTGTGTGACAGAGAGGGGGCCAGGGCACAGAGCAGAGGGCCAGCCGTGAGGAAACAGCGGCACCGGGCCACCTAACACCCCCACTCTACCTCCCACCCCGGCTCCTCCACTTGAGCTGGCTGTGCCCCAGTCTGTTAGTCCTGAGTCCCGTCACTTCCCAGATCCTGTCCTTTGTTCACGCCGGAAGGTTCCGCTGATCAGCCATCAACGTGTCTGCACCTGAACTGGAGCTTTACAGAAACTTTCCTGGATCCGAGGCCGCCACCTCCACAGGCAGAAGAGACACAAGCGCTTCCCCAGCCGCCCCAGGGTCCCTGCCACCCCGCACCTGAGATCTGCACGGCCTGGAAGCGGGGCACGTAGGCCAGGAAGCCGGCGACGCTCTCGCAGCCCTCGGGGAACGTGACCAGGCGGCTGTCCAGCACCCGCAGGCTGGGGTTCACGAACACGCGCAGGGGGAAGGGCTCCATCTGGCGGGCCTCGCGCAGGCGCGGCGCGCAGGCGTGGAAGAGCGCCTCGGGGAACTCCAGGGCCAGCACCTGCAGGGGCACCCCGAGCTGCGGCGCGCTCAGGCCCACGCAGTGCCGGCGCCGCATCACCTGCACCAGGCGCTGCACCAGCCGCTGCAGCTCGGGTCCCGCCAGCTGCGCCGGCTCTACGGGGGCTGCCACGGCCCGCAGCGCCGGGTCTCCGACCTGGCACACGTGCGGGTACGGCGGCTTGGGCGCTCCCAGCACCAGACGCCTCAGGTAGCGCCAGTAGGGGGCGCCGGCGCGGCGGTCCCTCGAGGCCGTCCCAGGGGCGCGTGGAGCTGCAAGCCCGGGCGCCGACCGCCGCCCCCTCCCCCCACGGCCGGGCTGGCCCCCCGAGGCAACCCGCCCACACCCGCAGCGACCCCAGCAGCGGCCCGGCCCCTAGGCGGCCCATGGTGCGCTCCACAAGAGCGGCCCGCCCTGACGCTCCCCTCCGGCTTCCGTAGCCAAGCCCTCCCGCCGCCAGGGACGCTGGGAATCGTAGTTCCCGCCCACAGAATGCTGTCCGCTTCTCGGTGGCGATAATCAGCTTTATTTTATTTCATTTTTTATTGTATAAGAGGAGTGACCAAGAGGTTCCTCCTCTCATTTTCTCTGGCGCGTGCCTCCCCGCTGGGGCTGTCCGGCCGGGTGCTGGGCCTGGTTCTGGGAGCAGGGAGCCCCGTTAAGCGCTCTCACTGGGCACGTCCGGCAGTGGCTCCCCTGATTCAACCTGCTCTTGCCCCTCCGCAGGGAAGGCCGGAGTGATGGGCTCGAGGCTGGACTCCTCGGCTGGGAGTTCTGGGGCTGCAGCTGGAGCTGTGAGCTCCGGCCCTGGCTCCCTCTCCTCTAGACAGAAGACCATGTCTTTCTTCGGCAGGATAAAGGCGAGAGGCTCCTGGACGATGCTGATGTTGACATGCCCAAGGTTTCCGTACTTGGAGAGCTGAGTGGGTGGAATGCCTGACCCCGATGGCAGGCAAAGTAAAATGGAAAAAAACGTTTAATAAATGTGAATACTGACATGTCACATGAAGTAACAGTCACAGTTACCATATTTCAATATAGTGAGCCATTTTGTGACATGGGAGACGAAGCTATACTGTAAAGCCCGGCTTTGAAGGTAACCTGGCAAGCACAGCAGGGCGGATGGAGTGAGGGTCAAGAGAACCTCAGTAAGCAAGCACTGGCTTCCCTGCACAGGCCCAAGGGAAAAGCTGGGGGGAAAGTGGCCGCAGCCACTGTTGCCTGGTGTGATTACTGGCCCATTGCCCTTTGGGAAGTTCTGCCTCCCCCATCCCCCACACACCATCCCAGGGGCAGAGAGAGTGGGTACAGGGAAGTGAAGGCAAATTGGAAAATCACACAATATCTGGTTCTTCTGTGATTATAGCTTCTTCCACTTAGCCAGCTATATACATTGTGTGATTCCATTTATATGAAATGTTCAGAAAGGCAAATCTGTTGCATCAGAAAGTATATTAGTGGTTTCCAGGGGCTAAGAGTGGGTCTGGGGAATGACTGCATTGGGCATGAGGGATCTTTCTGGGGTGATGGAAATGTTCTAAAATTGAATGGTGGTAATGGTTGTACACTTCTGTACATTCACTAAAACAATGAATTTTAGAAAGAGGTGAATGAATTAGTATGTGAATAAGATCAACCAAATAGTTTTAAAAATATTTTCTCCTTTCTCTTACCTAATGTCTGTGCTATCTGAGCTGGTGGAAAAAGGACTTGGAGACAGCGATTTAAATAAGGAACGAGGTCCTCCAGGAAGACAGTGCAGAACTGGATGAAAAGCTCTCGCTCCCCATTGGTGAAGGCAGCCTCTTCAGCACGATGGAAGCCCAGGATGACTCTGGTTACCTAGGAGACAAAGGCACCAGCAATCACTGCAGTAGTCTGTCACACCATCTATGAGTAGTCTGTCACCATCAGCAGTGCATGAAACAGCACAAACGTGCAGCCCTCGAGTTTTCATGAAGAAAGCTGTTCCAAACAGTACATTATAGTACTGTTTTGTTTAAAGTCAGAATTGTAATCACTTGTCACAATTCTGTCATTTCATTGATGTCTTTCTGACCCAACTTGTTTCATTATAGTTGCTTGTTCCAGTGGAAGAAGAATAAATGGTTCTTGACTCCCATGGGAGACTGTCCACAACTATGTTGGATCCAGGAAAATGAAGGAAAAATTATAGAAGGGTTTTACTGAGTAAAGCCAGGAAGCTAGGCCACTAGAAAATTGTAAAGGAAGAAGGAAACAGAGCTGGAAAGGAAGTTCCAAATACAAAGAACAGAGCAGCCTACCCGGCATTACAGACAGGTGTCATGCTACCAGGATTAACAACAGACTCTGGTGCTAGATGTCCTGGTTCAAGTCCTAGCTATGCCACTTACTGGTTCTGTGACTTCCAACTTACCTGGTAAGCCCTCCATACCATCTCTGTGCCTCAGTTTCCTCATCCCTTCCCTTCCTCAGTTTCCTCAACAACAGGCCCTACCTCATAGAGTTTTGAGGATCAAATCTTAATATGTGTAAAGTATGATGAATGCTCTTTGGCATGGAGTAAGTTCTATACAAATATTAGCTAATTATTATTACTTGAATGTCACTGACTCTAAATGCGCTAGCCGGTGTGGCTCAGTAGGTTGGATCGTCATCCCTTACACTGAAAGGTGGCAGATCTGATTCCAATCAGGGCCTATCCCCAGGTTTCTAGTTCAATCCCTGGTCGGGGCGTGTATAGGAGACAACTGATCGATGTTTCTCTTTCTCAAAAAAAAAAAAAAAAGTGCGGCATAGTAGGATATTACAGTAGTAAGAGCATTACTTGTGTTAGGCAGAATTCTAAAATAGCTTGTGTCATTTCTATCCCCTTGTATCCACTTCTTTGTGTAATCCCCTCCCCTTAGTTGCAGGCAGAATCTGTGGCTTGTTTCTAACCAATAGCAAATAGCTAAGCTGGATAGAGCAGGGTATCGGGGGAAATGGTGATGGAAGGAGTCTTAACTTGGGGTGGAGCACACACACACAGTATACAGATGTGTTGTGGAACTGTGCACCTAAAGCCTGTATAATTTTGTTATCCAGTCTCACCCCAATAAATTCAATTAAAAGAAAAATATGGCCAAGGTGAAGGATTTTGCAGTTGTAATTAAAGACACTAATCAAGTGACTGAACTAATCAAAAGTGGGCCTGATTTAATCAAACGAGCCTTTTAAGAGAGGGCTGATGATTTCCCTAAAAGAGATTTGTGCAGGAGATACCCTTCCATTGGCCTTGAAGAATCAAAAAGCCACGTATGAACTGCCTATGGAATGGGACGGCCCCTAGGAGCTGAGGGCCTCAGTCCCTTAACTGTAAGGAACAGAAATCTGCCAAAGCGAGTGTGTTTGAAAGGGGAACCCAAGCTCCAGATGAGACCACAGCCTGGCCGACACCTTGATTGCAACCTTGTGAGATTTTGAGCAGAGGACCCACTTGTACTGCGCCTGGACTCCTGCTGCACAGAAACTGGGAGATGATAAATGTGTGTGGGAGTTCGTTATTCAGCAATAGAAAACGAAAACATTACAGAATCGTTACTACAGGTGAGCCACTTCATGGGCTGTTTTAGGTTCCATGAAGGGGGACTAACCGGCTAAGAGCTGCTCAGCCATTATAAACCTCCAAAGCCACACTAACCCTCTCCAAGTCAGCAGTCACCACTGTCACATGGACTGGCTTATTACCAAAGTCTGGCCTTCTGGAACCAAAGACGGTTCCAACAGAGCCCAACAGTATGTGCTCACCTTAGCAAGGGCGTCCTCCAGGACCCCAGTCACATCCTGCGCCAGGGCTATGGGGCAGCAAAGGCGCAGATCATTGAAGGCGACCAGAATGTTGTTGAGGAAGCAGGCCAGGGGTGGGAAGTCCAAGAGCACCATGGGCGGCTGCAGGGTCCCTGGCTGAGTCACTGGCACAGCAGCAGGCAGGTTACTGCTGCCCAAAATGGCTGGAGCCAAGATGAGGGTGTAGGAGTTCATTTCATCTTGGAACTTCTCCACCGCCTCCTGAATTGCTTTCTGGAAAGTGCTGATAGCTACCTGCTGGAAAACAGGAGCCAACTGGCCCCGGAAATCAGCACCCACCCGGCTGAAGGACAGCCCAAAGTACATGCACTGGCCCAGCAGCGAGTCCAGGCGGCCGCCTATCCCTCGGTGAAGGTCGGTTTCCAGCACCTGCAGGAACTGGGAGACTTTCTGCAGGACCCAGCCATGGAAGATAGCACTCTCATTCACGGTGTGCTCCCCCACGGCCGGGGACAGCAGCGGGTCCTCGTCTGAGAAGATTGCACGGTACTGAGTGATGATATCAAACAGATGGACCCGGCAGGCCTCGATGGTTTTTGTGATGTGGAAATAGGGGTCATCGTTGGGGATGGCAGTCAGGATGGAACGGAGCCAAGCATCTCGGGCCTGAAGAAACTTCACCCTCAACTCAGCCTCAGTGAAGATGTCCATGCGCCTCAGGAAGCCAATGACACGGAGGCAGGCAGGCAGCTGGATGTTGGTCCTCAGCTGCTGGATCAGCTGGCTCAGCATCAGCTGCATGGACTGGCGCACTTCGTTCACAATGCCCTGGCAATAGAGGGTGAGTCACACCGCGCTCGGACACTCCCTGGAACCCATTCCACGAACCCTGAATATTACAGACCAGCATTCCCCCCGCTTTCCTAACACATGAAGTACATTTCTTAAAACTAACACATTTTGGGTCACTGTGGCCCTGCTTCTCCTACCTCACCGGCTTCCTCATGCTCTCCCCTTGCTCACTGCAGTCCAGTCCCACTGGCTGTCTTTGTATTTCTTTTTTAAATAAATTTTTATTGATTTCAGAGAGGAAGGAAGAGGGAGAGACAGAGATATCAATGATGAGAATCATCAATCGATTGGCTGCTTCTTACATGCCCCCCACCAGGGACCAAGCCCGCAACCTGGGCATGTGTTCTGACCAAGAATCAAACTGTGACCTCCTGGTTCATAAGTCAATACTCAACCACTGAGCCACCCTGGCTGGGCTGTCTTTGTATTTTTTAACACTCCAGCTTCCCTCCTCTGCCTGCTGTACTTGTTCTTTCCACTTTCTGGTTTGCTCTCTCCCCTCACATCTACGTGTGGCTGGGTCCTTTTTATCGTCTGGGTCTCAGCTTACGTGTTCTCTCTCCGGAAGAGCCTTTCCTGACCACTCTCCCTGGAGTAACTCACCCTGGTCTCCTTCCATCCCATCCCCTGGTTTTTCTCCAGACAATCACTATCTGAAAGGATCATATTGTTTATCTGTTCATTTGCCAACTATCAGCTTACACTCATGAGAGCCAGGGCCTTGTTTGCTTTGTTCACATTGCAAAGCCAGCACCTAGATCAGTGCGTGCCTGGCACACAGATTCACACTTCTCAGTTGAACCAATGAATGAATGTATGTTCATGTTCAAGCCTGGCTGGCTGGCAGCAACTGATGTGAACCATGTGAAGCGTTTCTGCCTAAAGGTTCAGTGATGACCACAGAATTACTGACAAGAACATCAGTGTGAGTCCCCTCTGGGGAGGCTGGCTACCTGGATGACAGGGATGGAGGAGTATTTCTTTTCCAGTCGGCGAACGTAGGCTGCAAGCTCCAGGGCCTCTTCGTAATAGCTGTTTCGGACACAGGTATCCATGAGCTGAGGAATCTCTAAGATTTCCAGGATTTCCGTGTGCCGGTTCAGAGTCAGGGTGTTCATCCGGCGGTTGGAGCTGATCTCCTCAGCCTCTTTCACAAAGTTCCTAGTACAATCAGGAGAACGTTGGTTGCTCACTGCTCCGCACCCAAACCTTAATTGTAATTAGTCAGCATTTACTGTGAACTGGGCACTAGGCTGGCTGACTTGATTTAACCTTCAAACCAAATTATGAGGCAAGTTCCCTTGAGGAAACTTTAATCTCAGGTTAAGCAACTTGTCCAATATCACACAACTAACAAATGGGAAAGATTTGAACCCAGATCTGCCACTTAACTAGCTGTGCAGGGTAGTCAGGCTTTCATAACTGTTTCATTAGTAAGATAATGATGTAAGGATTAAATGAGATGCTGTGTGTAAAGTACTTAACACAGAACCTGACTCAGACTAAATGTTCCTTTAATAGCAGCTCAATCTGTTCCTATGCTGTTAACCTTAGTTCCCACCAGCTGCCATTTCTTCTGCGTAATGGCAGACATGTTTCATGAAGTCCTCTCTCTATTCTGGGTGGGTACAAGAGCTATTGTCAATTAGCCAAAGAGTCAAAGGAACACTTAAAAACGTTTATCATGAAAGGCTGGAAGGCAGAATTAGGGATAATGGACTGAGGGCCTAAGGAAGCAGATGATGACTCAAAAAGAAGGAATTAAAAAAAAAATTTTTTTGCCAACCCCAAATGGTAGGATTTCCTTGTCAGTTTCCTATCAAAGTTTTGGAGCAGACGACTTCCAGTCCTATGTGTTGCATCTATATATGTGTTTAGGTATCTTTACATAAATATGCTTACCTAGTAAGCTGCCAAGTGTTGATAGTTAAGTATGTCAGGCCCAAGTCTTACTGCTTTGCATGGATTCTCTTTATTTGTTGCTCGCACCACCCTCTGAGAGAGGGACGTGCAGCCGGGTTCCCATTTTGACCAGGACACGTCACAGCTGGGCCTTGGGACAATCCCTGACCTCTCCGTGTCTCAGCTTCCTCAGACATAAAACGGGAAAAACAGTACCTACCTCGGAGACTGTTGTGGATTTTAAATGGATTAATCAAGTGCTCGGAGAGCCTGGGACAGGGTAAGCGCTACCTAAGTGTTTGCTATCTCATCAAGGCAAATGTCACTATGACCGTCGTTTCAAAGCCCCTTCGGCACCGGCCCACCGCACCTGCAGCTCTGCTGGAAGCTGGGCAGGCGGTCGAGCAGGCGGCCGACCGACGTCTCCACGTCGCCAAACAGGCGGTGGATGCGCTCGGTGCACTCGGCGCCGCGGATGAAGGTCTTGTAGTTGGCGAAGGCCAGGTCGCGCGTCTGCTGCAGCAGCTGGGCGCGCTCCTCCGCCAGGCGCTCGGGCTCGCGCCGCAGCCGCTCCAGCCCGGAGCCGCTCAGCTCCCGGAGGTAGCGACCCACGTCGGGCCGTTCCCGCCACTGGGCCTCGGGGAAGCGATCCCGGAACAGCGACGCCAGGAGCCCTTCATCCTCCACGTCCCCGAGAGCCGCTGCGGTGGCCGTGGAGGAAGCCGAAGCGGAGGACGGGATTACGTCCATCGTCGCCATCTTCCCGGCAGCAGCCGTCACTTCCCCTTCCGGCCCAGAGAGGGCGCTGGCTCCGAGTCTAGGACCGGAAGCCACAGAGGTGCACTTCCCGTCTCGATGGTTTCTGATTCGGCGGCGCTGGCGTAGGGGAACCAATGGAGAGCGGGCTTTGGGGTTGCCAGGGAGAGCGAGAGAGGCTGGCGGCTGACTTCCTCTTCCGGCGACTGAGGCACGAGGATCCGGTGTCCCAACAGCGGGAAAATGCGGCCTTTGACTGAAGAGGAGACCCGTGTCATGTTTGAGAAGATAGCGAAATAGTAAGAGCGCGGGGGGCGGAAGAGGGAGAGTGTGTGGCAGAAAGGGGCGGGGGCGCAGGGCGGCGCGGGGCCGGGCCGGACCCATCGGTTCGGGCGCGGCCTCCAGGCCTCCTCTTGCCCACAGCATCGGGGAGAACCTTCAGCTGCTGGTCGATAGGCCCGACGGCACCTACTGCTTCAGGCTGCACAACGACCGGGTGTACTACGTGAGGTGAGAGGGGCCGGTGGGCGGCATGGAGCCGGGGGGTGGGGGCCTGGGTCCCACCTGCGCCCTTACGTGACACCTCTGTCTTCCTTACCCTTTCAGCGAAAAGATCTTGAAGTTGGCCGCCAACATCTCCGGTGACAAGCTGGTGTCGCTGGGGACCTGCTTCGGGAAATTCACTAAGACCCACAAATTCCGGTTGCACATCACAGCTCTGGATTACCTTGCGCCCTATGCCAAGGTCTGTGGGGTGGTTTCCAGTCGGCCCCTGGGGATGGAGGAGGTCGGGGAGGAGGGCCACCCCAGGACGCAGATAGTTGACAGTGATTGGCACCAGCACCAGCACGTGGAGAGGTTTGTAGGTACGGCCAGGGCCCCGGGGCAGGAGTCCTGTGACCACCAGTTGTAATTATCTCCGGCAAAGTGGAAAAGCCTGTGCAAACCCCGCTGAAGACCGAAAAGCAAATGGGCCGCTGTGATGAGGGGCAGAGTGGGTCCAGACAAAGAGCTGTTCACCTGTCCATAGGACAGCGGTTCTCAACCTGGGGGTCGAACGACCCTTTCACAGGGGTCGCCTAAGACCATCGGAAAACACATACATAATCACATATTGTTTTTGTGATGAATCACTATGCTTTAATTATGTTCAATTTGTAATAATGAAAATACATCCTGCATATCAGATATTTACATTACGAATCATAACAAAATTACAGTTACGAAGTAGCAACGAAAATAATTTTATGGTTGGGGGGGTCACCACAACATGAGGAACTGTATTAAAGGGCCGCGGGATTAGGAAGGTTGAGAACCACTGCCATAGGAGAAGTTGCTCGTGGAGTGGAGGAGAGAAGCTGGCAGTTCTGTTCAGGGGATGAACAGTTTGAGGGAAATATGCATCTTTCAAGAAATCAGCCCTAGATCCAGCGGCTAGCTTATCTGCAGGGATGTAGCTGTTAACATTTTTGTTTTTTTGGATTTGACTTTCTTTTATATAGTACAAAGTGTGGATAAAGCCTGGAGCAGAGCAGTCCTTCCTGTATGGGAATCACGTGTTAAAATCTGGACTGGGTCGAATCACTGAAAACACGTCTCAGTACCAGGGCGTGGTGGTGTACTCCATGGCAGACATCCCTTTGGTGAGTACAGATGGTAGCTGTTACGTAAAGATCTTTTTTATTCAAGAAAGATGTATTTTTCAGTCTGTGGGCTTGTGAGACTAAATGCTCAGCACCATTGGAATTTCTCAGAGAACTGTATTTTTTATTTTTATTTTTTTATGTCTTCTGTTATTTCCAGCCTTCAGTGCGTGCTTATTGAATGACTTGAGTGAATCAGTGTCTCTTCTTTTGAATCCCAGGGTTTTGGGGTGGCAGCAAAGTCTACACAAGACTGCAGGAAAGTAGACCCCATGGCGATTGTGGTATTTCATCAAGCAGACATTGGGGAATATGTGCGACACGAAGAGACATTGACTTAAAACGAAACCATCGCAAGGACGTGTGGCTGTGTGGAAGGGCCTAGCTTTGTTTCCTGTGTCTGTGTAGGCTCCACCATCATGTTGAATTTGGTCAACACTGTGATCTCTCCAGGGACTTCTTAGTTTAATATGGACAAATGCAGGCTGGATTCTTATTAAGCAGAAATGGGTCAAAAATGGCGTTTCGGGTGTTTGTGTTTGCTACTAAATAGAATATCGTGTTTTATATTTCAATCAGAGGGCTTCTTATTTTCAGTAAAAGATTCTAAATCATTGGAATTGAGGACAAGAATAGCTCATTGTTATCTGTGATAACACTGTTTTTCAAGCTCATGGTAAGAACACAACAGGTTTTCTTATTTATTTATTAATACTAGAAAGGTAGATATTGCTGTATGAGAATAGTTGGCCATGCCTGGGATTTTACAGATGAAATTTGGGTAAAATACTAAGAGCAATTTATTCTGCTAGTTTTCCTTATGATGAGTGCTGTGTGGCTTGGAAGAAAACTTGGATCCTAAACCTAGTTCTAATACCTACCAGCTCTATGATGCTGTAGATGAGTCATTAAACTTTTATGAGCTTCATTTTCTTCTGTTTCAAAAAAACAGCTTAACCATCTACCTAAGAATGGTTTTCAGAATTTGCCTGGCAAATGACAGGTGCTGACTAAGTGGTAAGAATTGTTTTTATGTTGCATATACTGAGTGTTTCTGCTACTAAGCGTAGGATCTAATGAGTATAATTCAAGTTGTTTTCTGCATCTTTTTCCTGGATGGTGATTTCAGGTTGAATGTTATTTTCATCACCTTGGTTTCCTAAAACATTTCCCTTATGAACCTTTACTTACCTTACTGGACTGGACAAAAAGCACTAATCAGAGACCCTGAAATAATGTACCTCCTTCATTCTTCCCCATGCTTTCTGAAATCATTTTTAGAATTAAAATATTTTTAAGATGAAAGTAATTTCACAGAGAAATATTTTTTTTTTAAACTACCTATATTATAAAACAAATTTTCTAATGATTATACTGTTTAAATTCCAAAGGTGACTTCTCTAAAAATAAAGCATTTTTTAAAAATATATTTTATTGATTTTTTTACAGAGAGGAAGGGAGAGGGATAGAGAGTTAGAAACATCGATGAGCGAGAAACATCAATCAGCTGCCTCCTGCACGCCCCCTACTGGGGATATGCCCGCAGCTAAGGTACATGCCCTTGACCAGAATCGAACCTGGGACCCATGAGTCCGCAGGCTGACGCTCTATCCACTGAGCCAAACCAGTTAGGGCAAAATAAAGCATTTTAAGTACAAAAAAGCATTCTACCAACTACTGTTTTTGTATGCAACATGTAAAACTAGGTTTTATATGTTTTTGACCCATTTTTCCAACTCTTCTCCCTTCCACAGTTCTCTGTTAACCTCTGAATAGACTTAGTGGCCCAGCTGGCATGGCTCAGTGGTTGAGTGTCGACCTGTGAACCAGGAGGTCAAGGTTTGATTCCGGGTCAGGGCACAAGCCCGGGTTGTGGGCTGGATCTCCAGTGTGGGATGTGCCTAAGGCGGCTGATCAGTGATTCTCTCTCATCATTGATGTTTCTGTCTCTTCCCTCTCCCTTCCTGTTTGAAATTAATAAAAAATATTTAAAATAAATAGCCTTAGTGAAGGTTAAGGGACTGCTACAGTATTTTGATGGTAGCATCTGGTGCATACATTAGAAATAGCCAACGTCAGAACTTACACATTTTTATTCCTTTATTGCCATTTTGCCTCTGTAGATGAGTGCAATAAACTAAAACTTTCTAATAGGAGAAATTGATTTTCCCCCAGTAACTTTACAAAGCTGATTTAACAAAGCTTTGACAAGCTTCTGCCCCAGAAGAAAAGAGCCAGCACGCTGTAATTATTTTAGCTTAGCATTTTGGCTTCTTTGTGTCTGTAGTCGTTGAGACATTGAAGAGACGCTTCAAGAAGTACAGCTGCAGGATCCCAGAAAGAACAATAACAAGGCTCTGGGCCATGGACCACCAGTTCACATAGTTGTAGTTTGATTGGAGGAGGAAAAAGTCAGCCATTTTCCTCATGCGGGCAAAGTTGTAATGACGCCACATGTGAAAGATATTTTTCTGTACCTTTCGTGTACTTTCCTGTGGGACAGACAATGAAATAAGAAAAGGGTTCCTCCCAACCCCCGATCTAGCCTCACCTGGATGCTCTCCAGCACTAACTTAAGTTTATCTGGAAATTGAGTAACTTAAGTGATTTTATGATATGTAATAAGTTGGCTATTGTAATTGAAGATGGTGCGGCTTTTGCAGTAAATAAAAACCCGTACTCGCCTCTGAATTAGAAAAGACGACACGTTGAACTAAG